ATTGTTTGAAACTGGAGCTAGCTGGTCTTGTTTTTTGTATCTTAATAAATTTATTTTAAATAAAAAAAATTTATTAAATAAATTAAATAAAAATAAATTTATATTTAAATAACTTTTTGATCAGCATCGTACGTATTATCAAATTACATGAAAGTACAAAAATACGTCAAATAACATTTAAAATAATAAATTTTCCACCTATAATTTTGACTGACAAGATTGTAAATACACATAAAAGATAGTGAGTGGTGATCGATTTCGATTGGACAATTCATCTTTTATATGTATTTGCCATCTTGTGAGTCAACAGTATAATTGTAAATATATTATTACAAATGGAATTCAAAGTATTTTTTGTACTTTCAATTAATAATTAATCCTTTGGACTAAGATTTAGATGGCATTAGTAGTAAGAAAGAAATCCTCTAACTATTTCAACACTGATATATAGTGGATAAGTCCACTCTTCTTAAAATACATTTTTGTTATGTCAACATTTTACAAGTATAATCTACATGCAATGACATGTTTTATATAAATCTGTTTGGTGTAATTTTTTTATTTAACTATTTCAATTATTTAAGTTTATCATTTGATACTTAAAAATCCATAGAAAAATAACCGTCCATTAGCAAGTTCTCTTTAATAGTCTCTAAAAATTTACAGATCACATAGGTCTCACGTACTTTGTTTAACTTATGAATTTAATAGTTAATTGGTAACTTGGGATCAACTAGTCCAGTCCATAAACCAATTTTATAATCTACAGGAAAAAAAATACCAGTCAATGCATAAGCGATATTATCTCTTGTAAAATGTGTACTATTATTGTTTATTGTCGTTCTAGTTTGTAGATAGGAAGCTGTATTCAACAGTGCAGAGGAGAATTTTTAATTCACTAAATTTTATTAGTTAAATTCATGATTTGTTGTAAATTTGTTATATGAATTATAACTCAATTCTTTACCTTATTGTATTGTACCTGAATAAAATACTAAAATACCAAGCGTATTTCAGATATAGTTTTTTAGGTTCCACTTTTACGATAGTCTCCATTTCAGACTAGAGTGTAGAAGCATTATTACGAAGCGAAATACGTTCTAGTTGTTGGGATTTGAACCCAAGACCTTATTTGTTTTAAGCTCTGCGCTCTCCTATACCAGCTTAATTTCCATGTAATGATGAGTTTTGTATTTATAAAAAAACAAAACAAACTCATTTAATTTTTTTTTGTAAGTGCGTTGGTGAAAACGAATCAACTTAAAGCATTGATAAAAGTAACCTTGAATTTTTTTTCTAGTCCTTGTGAAAATTGCCAAATCAGCAAATTGTATTAATAAAACCTACAAAATAGAGCACTAACAACGAAAATTAAAATGACTTACGAACAGAATATGAAAATTAGAATAACAATGTCAGAGGTTTTCAGAAAGTTTTCCTGTAATTAAGGCCAGTGACCATCGCAGAAGAGGCTTAGTTAGAGTTAGGGCTTATATTATTTAGAGGCATTGCATTGTTATTGTAGTTATGTTACAACAAACTCCAAAGAAACATAGTTAAGTTTTGTCTGTGCCATAAAGGGGATCACGTAATTTTAAATTGAATTTTGTGGTCAAATTTTCAAAAGTAGTTTAAACAATGTAATGCAATGCAAGAGGTATCATTACCAAATATATTTTATAAAGTCGTCCCTAATTATTAGGAACATGAACATTTTGAATTTATTTAACCCGTTAGTAAGCTAAACAAGTTTTTAGAAGTTCAACGTCAATGTTATACAGATTTTTACCCTACGTAGGCAATGCATAGAATACCTAATCGTTCTTTAGTGTATCTGATTATATATTTTCCCGGTAAATCATACATGTAATTAATAAAGTTAAACCATTGAAAATTTTTAAACTCAAGTGATCTACTTTATCATCTTAAAACTTTTAAAAGACATCTCCAAAAAAAAACAAAAAAAACAGAGCAACAAACCTTAATTGTTTCGTTGTGGTTTCGCTTTCAGCATAGCTGAAAAAGTCAATTTAATAATATCCTTTGGGCATACTTGATTTGTACGTAAGTATATATTTATTCCCTTACGCTGCATACTATAAAAAATATCTTGGTAGTATTTCGCTGAATAAACAGTATTGCTGTAAAGTAAATAAAAATATTGAATGACATGTTTTTTTTCTCAATGCTAAAATTTTCTGTCGAAACAGTAGGCCACAATAACACCCGATCATATTTTGTCATGATTGTAAGTATGATTTACTGAGGGTTTGATGTCACATGATTAATTCTTTGTTATCTCGCATTGCAAAGGAAATGGTATGCCTGCGATAGGCAGCTAATTGTAACATTATCATTGGCACAGATAATACCAAACAAATTACCTATGTCCTGAGGTATTCATGTGATTAATCTTGTCATAATTGAGTTGCCTATGCTTAGTAACATTATAACATGTTAAATTAGTGCTATAACAATATTCACACAAAATGGATGTTCAAATACATACTTTTATGTCCGGTGATCATATCGCAACGAAAAAGTCTATATATGCCAACAAGTATTAATAATGTGATATTTTGGTTTAGGCTGAATCCCATTCGTTATTTTGTTTATTATTTTAGCAATTTATTTTGAATGCAGCATTTTAATATTAAACATATCTGTGAAACAATACATGACAACAATCTACACTAACTTGACTGAAATCATAGATGCCTATAATACACAACATGTCTAAGGAGAAAAATAAATTCACGTTTTGCTACGGGCTTTATGTAGAGGCCAGTTTTGATATGTACCATGCAATGTGGACTTTGAACTGGCTTTGACCAACGAACCTTGGTCCATCATGAGCTTAGTTCAACATTGATATTAGTTGACTCATAGCTTAGGCATGTCATGTAGAACTGATTTACTATAACCAAGATAATATGAGAAAAGTATTTTTAATTGGTTTATAATTCCCTAAACCACTTAAAACACGCATTAAAGTACGGGTCTATTTAATAGTGTAAAATCGATTTCTTGCTTAAAAGGGTTTCAGTTACTTCCATAAAAAATTCAACTGGCTTAGTCAATATAATCTAAATAATCTATGGAATTAAAATAAGTAAATAAATAAGGAGTTTATTTGTTTTATATGGCAAAGTTTTTTTTAATATTAATCGTTTTTGAAAGTAGTACATGGAGTGAAAATCAACATGTATACATGAAATTCACACGGTAGCGAGTTATTCAGGTGATTCTTTTCATTTTGTTTGGTTGGTAAAACGATGGTTAGCATTTTTAAACAAATTACATAAAATATGTTTATTTCCTAAAATACTTAACGATCACGATTTATTTTTTAATGTTTCTATACTATAAAAAAATGAATTTACAAATGAATTAAATATTGTCAAAAGATTAATTTAAGTTTAATACTATGGTAAAACGTTAATAAGACAATTCATTATAATTCCTACCTCCATGAGGAAAACCCACATTAACATGAAATAGCAATGTGAATAACAAGCTATTAGATATGCATTAAAGTTTGGTTTGGCCCCAAAGTAAAGAGACCTGTTTTATTGTTACCAAGACTAAAATTACACATAATTCAAACTTTATTTTAGGTTAGTGGTTTTTTATCAAGGCTTTAAAGTAGTTAAACAAGTGTTATTGTTGATGGTTCCTCGACCTATTAGGAGAAAAGAATCTTTTTAACAGATGATTTTGACAATGTATTAAAAACTGATTTATATGATGTCAAAATAAATGTAGGTTACTTTTAAATCCACTCAGAGTAAATGTACTAACATAGGCATACTATCGTTACTTATACACATTAAATATTAACGCTTATTTGGTGCATCATTCTTGCATTTCTGTAAAGATACATTTACAACCAAGTGTTCTTCAGTTTCAAATCATTCAAAGCCGTATTAACCAGCAAAATATATTTGTAAAGGCGTTAGTACTAGCATTAATAATAATTAATTAGTCTTCATGGATAATAAATAACCACAACTATTTTGGAGTAAGCCATCTTTAATAATGAGACCGATTGGGGTCACCGACTTGGTGACATCATCATGAGCATAGAGGATTTACATAAGTGGTATGACAATATTATATAACTATATGACATCTCCCTTCTTTACTAAAGATATTTAATTTAACACAGAATATTCAAGAAAAAGTTCAGTTGAATTGAAATATAAAAATGACAGACAAGCTATGAAATATAAAAATGACAAACAAGTTATTCAGCAGTTGGTGGTTGATCAGACATAAGAACATAATAACTTAACCTAACAAAAATACAAAAGAGTCACTGATATGAGATACAATAAAGGATTAAGGAAAGCTTTCATGAAATACAAAGTGATATTACAAGTTGAGACATTGATAATGAAATACAAAGTGATATTACAAGTTGAGACATTGATTATGAAATACAAAGTGAACGATAAATGAGCTTACATAAAATACAAAGTGATGTTACATAAAATACAAAGTGATGTGTTACATAAAATACAAAGTGAAGTTACAAGTTCAGGAATTCATAATGACATATAAAATGGGTTAATTAAAAATGTAAATGTGTTCTTGGAATATTCAATGCTAAATCAGCTAATAATAAAACAAAATTTAAATTGACAATCTTTCTTTATGGCTTACCTCCAATTTTTTTTCTTTTGCCTTATAAACAAACATTGGCCTAATAAAACAAACTCAATACCGTAACTGGAGTTACTGCTCAAAATAAAATACACTTTGAAATCAGTTTTCCATAAAACATTTCAGATAGCACGAGAAAAATAAATCATCATTAGGCCTACATAAGAGAATAATAAAAGGATGACTAAAAAATACAAATTCACTGTAGTAAAACTAAAATAAGAATTCACTGTGAAGGGAATACAGTACACATGAGATTACAAGTTCATCTTGATTGGCCTATTAACATTTCTGCCAAACCTAGTTGTATAGGGCCTACTCCCGGGACTTACATGATGGTGGTGGGCAGGTACTGGTACAACGGTTGGTGGGGTTTTTAGGACACAATCATCTTTCTTTGGTGTTCTTCTTGGGGATTTACATGGGCTAGGCCTACTAACTTTTGTGTCATAACCTTCATCAAATTCAAATGATACATTACAATTAGAGTCATTGACAGGATTACCTTGTTTTTTGTGCACTGGTTTCAAATAAAACCTGTTACGAACATATGTCTTACCATTTTCAGTATTAACATAGTAGGACCTAGGACTAACATTTGATTTTTGTATTTTACCTTTTTCCCAAGAGGAACAATTCGATTTACGTACAAACACACTTTCATTGTTAGCAAGATTACGCATAGGGCGTGTTTTTCTATCATAATAGAATTTTTGCTGTTTCTGTCTAAGAGATAGGTTATGTTTCACATTCTTTGTGATTCTTGGTTTCAATTGACAAGTTCTGAGTGGAAAAATACCTCTTATTTTCCTGCTGAACAAGATTTCAGCTGGTGATGGGAGGCCTGAGCTGATTGGAGTATTCCGATACTCTAGCAAAACTAAGTAGGGGTCGGTACCCTCTAGGCTTGACTTTTTTAACAAATTCTTTATTGTTTGTACGTTACGCTCAACCATACCATTAGATTGTGAAAAGTAAGGGCTGGTTCTTGTGTGTTTAAAATTCCAGCTACAAGAAAATTCTTCAAACAAATGTGAAATAAACTGTACATCGTTACCTGTGATAACTTCCTCAGGTATCCCATGCCGGCTGAATACTTGTTTCAATACATTTATTACATAATCAGAAGTAGTGCTAGGCAGGTGGATCACCTCTGGATATTTTGAAAAATAGTCTACGATCAGTAGATACATCTTTTGATTTAACTGAAATAGATCAATACCTATCTTCTCCCATGGAACATCTGGAATAGAATGTTGCATTAATGGTTCCTTACGATTGCTGTTAGAGTAAGTCAGACATGTTTCACAAGTATTTACCATATTTACAATCTGTGAATACATATTTGGCCAATACACACAGTCTTTTGCTTTCAACAAGGTCTTATTTACGCCAAGATGAGTTAGGTGTAATCTAAAAAGCATTTCCTTTCTCAAACATTTTGGAATGACTATTGCATTGTCTTTCAAAATCAAATTCTTAGCTTTACAGTAAGACAAACTGTCTTTAACACTCCAATATTGTCTTATAACCTCAGGAACATTTTTGTTTTGTTTTGAGGCCATTTACTTAACAAAAAATGTTTAAGATGTTTCAACTCTACATCTGAATCAGTTAGTTGAGAAAGCTTACACAGTTTGACATCAGAAATATTAATACTATTGATTACAGCACATACCTGAGCTTCAATGCTTTCGTCCACACACAAATCATCTGATTTTGTTGACATTAGACATGACCTTGATAAGGTGTCCGATACATACATCAACTCACCTTTCTTATAGATCAAAGTGAAGTCAAATTTTTGTAGCCTAAGTAACATTCTCTGTAAGCGAGGAGGACAATTAACAAGGTTTTTCTTAACAATAGAGATCAATGGTTTGTGGTCGGTTTCAACCACAAAATGTTTACCATATACATACTGGTATAACTTTTCACAACCAAAAAGTACAGCAAGCATCTCTTTTTCAATTTGACTATACGATTGTTGCACATCACTTAACGCTTTAGAGGCGTGTATGCCACTGGGAGATCATTTTGCAAAATTGCTGCACCTAGGCCATAAGAGCTAGCATCCACAGAGATGACAATAGGTTTGTTTATGTCAAAAAACTGTAAAATAGGACTGCTAGATACTAACGACTTTAAATCATTAAAAGCCTTCTCATGTTCTGGAGACCAAATAAAATCAGAATCTTTTTTAATTAGACCGCGCAATGGCAGTGTGACATCTGAGAGATTGGGTAGAAATTTGCCTACATAGTTAACCAATCCCAGAAATCTTTCAAGTTCTTTCTTGTCTGTGGGTGCTGGCATCAAAGTTATGGCTTTAACTTTCTCATCATCAGGGGTAATACCAGCCTTACTTATCTTGTGACCAAGATAATTTAACTCAGTAATTGCAAATTTACACTTACTTTGATTTAATTTTACATTTTCAGCCCTGAGTTTCAAAAGAACATCTCTCAGGCGCTGATCGTGCTGTTTACGATCAGAACCATACACCAGAATGTCATCGACATATACACTTACTCCTTCCAAGTCCTGTAAGAGGAAAGACATTTTTTCCTGAAATACCTCACTTGATACATTTAAACCATACGGTAACCTCAAAAATTTGTACCGTCCAAAGGGTGTATTAAATACACAAAGATCAGAACTTGGTTTGCACAACTTAACATGTAAAAAAGCATCTTTTGTATCCAATATGCTAAAAACCGTAGCTCCTGAGAGCCTAGAACTAATATCTTCAAACGTTGGCATTTGAAAATGTTGCCTTTTGATTGCTGCATTTATATCTTTAGGGTCGAGACACAATCGTAAATCACCATTTTTTTATGTACAATTGTCAAAGAATTTACCCAATCAGTAGGATAATCTACCTTACAAACAATGCCAGATTTTTCTAGTTGAGTTAGCTTAGCTTTGAGCTTGGCCTGCAAGGCCAATGGAACTTTGCGCGGTGGATGTATCGAAGACTAATATTGTCCTTCAATACAATAGTATATTCACCTTTAAGACAACCTATGCCTTCAAATACATCAGAAAATTCTTTAAAAATTGAGTTACTATATACACTATTTACATTATCTAGGCCTACATGACTTGAGCCTAATTGATCCACTCTTCGAATAAGGTCGAGCTTTGTACTCGCTTGGTGGCCTAAAAGACAAGGACTTTTGCCTTTAGTGACAAAAAACTGTACATCATGATTATTACCTTTGTAATTACATTTGAGCGTGCACTTACCTAATATGTTAAGCTTTTGACCTGTATAAAAGGTGAGACTAGTACCAGTAGGTATTAAATTATGTTTATCAATACCTAACATTTCAATTACATCAGTGTTTATGAGATTAGCCTGTGCACCACTATCAATCTTAAATCTAGCGTTAACAAAATCATTGAGAGTTAGGTCTACTAACCATTCTTTGTCGTCATTACTAGGCTTCTTCTGGTCGATAGCATTTATACAACCTAAAACTAGTTCAGTTTCATTCTCGTCGACTGCATGCACACTGAATGTTCAAACACCGAATGTTTCCTTAGAAAACAATACTCCACTCCATATAAGGTCAGAGGATATAATCTCGGGCGGTATACACCCCGACTCATGCAAAGCTAAAGAAGATATTATTAGTAACGACGATCAAAAAACTCTTCAAAACAAATATTCGAAGAAAAATCCCAAGTCTTTCGGGCCAAGGGAATTTAGAAGTAACAACCACAGTGACAACAACTGGAAAGCAAAACGTAATAATAAAGGCAGTGACTCTCTCGAATCTAGACGTAATCCCGTGGCCGTGAGTTATGCTGAGGTAGCAGCAAGAGAAAAAGTGAATGTAAACATAACCAAGAAAAGTAGAGACTCCTATTCTTCAACCTTAGTGTCGACACATAGGCCTAGCTCTGTAAATAAAGACTCCCTACCAGTTCCTAAGCGTATTATCATTGGTTCAAACGAAAATACTGATGTCCTAGCGGGCGAAAGGAAGGCCTGGTTTTATTTAGGTAGAATTAAAAGTGAAACTAGTGTCTCAGCTATTGAAAGCTTGATCAAGAACTCTCTAACAGGTAATTTAGACTTAGTTATTGAAAAACTAGAATCTAAAGGCTCCAACGCTAGTTTTAAAATAGGAATAAACTTTGATAGGAAGGATGAGTTGATGTGTGGTTCACTCTGGCCGAAGAACTCGATTTTCAAGCGTTTTTTATTCAAAAGACAAGTAGGGAAACATCCACTTTAGGTAGCATGCCTACTCTATCTGCACATCCAACATCTACAGCAAACACAATGTTCTTAAAAACTAAGGACCACCTAAAGGCTAAGTCAAATTTAAATAAAGGTAATAGGCCTAGGCCTACTAGTGAAGTTTTATCTGTAAGCCTAGGACTAGTCATGCTTTTTCTAAATGTACAGTGCATAAGCAATAAGTGTAATGAACTCGAAATGATCTTGTCATCCAGTAATTTTGACATTCTCTGTTTTACAGAACCCTGGTTGTCACATGATCAATTATGTGTGTTTAACTTAATGAACTATAACCTAATTTCAGAGTTTAGCAGGTCCTGTAAGAAGAACGGAGGCGTTGCGTTGTATGCCTCTAAAGATTATGCACCAAAATGTAAGGCTATAGACGTTAGTGGTTTCTGTTTGGAACAACATCATGAATTTGCTTGTCTCAGTGTGCCTGATTCCAATCTCATAGTTATAGGTGTGTATCGCTCACCCGATGGAAATCTGGAGTGGTTCCTTGACAGCCTTGAAAAACTAGTCCTATCCCTTGAAAATAGAAGAACGAAAAATAATCTGGTCCTGGGTGGTGATGTTAATATAGACATTTTAAAAGGTGAGAAACACTCAGAAGACTTTTTAAATCTTTTGAAATCCCTAAATCTTTATTGCTTGGTGTGGGAACCTACAAGAGGCAATTCGTGTCTGGACAACGTTGCGACGGATTTACCCAAAAGACTCCTGAAAACGGAAGTGAAAAGACTTGCTGTAAGTGATCACGACGCAGTCAGCCTCCATGTACAAACTGCATCAAGTGCAGTACCTGATGGTTCTGGTCGAAGAGTATGTAGGCCTATTTCAACAGACAAGATAAATAATTTTATATATCGCCTAGATAACACAAACTGGGACTTCCTTTATAATACTGGTGCGGCTGAAGATACCTTCAATTGTTTTTTTCAAAATTTCCTTCTTATGTTTAATGAATGCTTTCCCACAAGGTTACTGCCTACAAAACGCTCCAAGAAAAATCAAAATCTTCCGGACTGGAAGGACCAATCCCTAGTAACGTGGAAGAAGTAGGTGCTCCTAGCCTATGATCTCTACAGGGACAATAAAACACCCGATTCAGAGCTACGCTACAAAACTATTAAGAAGCAGTACAAACAAAAACTTCTATCAGCTAGACTGGAAAGAAATGCTCGCTTCATAGAATCTGCCAGTAATCGCTGTGCAGCAGCCTGGAAAGTTATCCATGAAGAAGGTGCTCCGTCCAAATCCCAGTTGATATCTTCAGTGACTGCGGAAGCTTTCAACGCCCATTTTATTGACTCCGTCCAGCAGACCAGAGATGCTATCAACGGTTCAGCCACTTCTGCCCTAGATATGCTGGAGAAACGTGACCCTGCAGCCTCACGGTTCAACATTACCCTTTTATCCTGGGAAAGTGTGATACGGATGGTCCAGAAGCTCAACAACTCTCCAAGCAAAGATATATTTGAGGTATCTGTCAATCTTATTAAGAGTGTGTTTCCTAGCATTGTAAAGCCTTTTACCTATTGCCTGAACCTATGTCTCTCTGAAGGAGTCTTTCCCCAAAGACTAAAGATAGCCAAAGTTATACCTATCCATAAGAAAGGTGATCCAAACAGTCCTGAGAATTTCCGCCCTATTTCCCTACTTCCAGTATTTTCAAAAATATTTGAATCTGTAATTAAGGATCAGTTGTACAAATATTTCGAAGAGCACAATCTGCTCATGACCGGCCAGTGTGGCTTCAGGGCGGGTCTCTCGACCATAGATGCTCTAGATAAGCTTGAAGCAGTAGTACTGCATGGATTTGAGGCTGGAGGCTTTACTGGGGCCACCCTGTGTGATCTCAGTAAGGCTTTCGACACGGTCGACCATCGGATACTGCTGGATAAATTGAATTTTTATGGAGTAAAGGGCTCTGAACTCAGGCTCATGGAGTCATACCTGGCTGGGCGTGAGCAGAGGGTGCTCATAAATGGACATATCTCTAGCCCTTGTCAGATCACTCATGGTGTCCCACAGGGGTCTGTACTTGGCCCCCTTTTGTTCATTATCATGACCAATGACCTCATTCCAAATTTTGGAGGAAATGTCGTCGGCTATGCTGATGACACTACCCTTTTTAGTTTCTCTAAAGACCTGATAACTCTAAATGGTCAAATGTCTGAGTCCATGGGGATAGCATCAGCATGGTTCCGAGCTAACTTTTTTAAGTTAAATGAAAGTAAATCCCAAACCATTGTTTTCACTTTAAATCAGATGGATCATGAAGGTTCAAATGTTAAATTACTAGGCCTATATTTGGATCCAAAGTTAGACTGGCACTGTCATATTTCTCATGTCTGTAGTCGTTTGTCTAGGGTAATTTTTCTCCTGAGAAGACTTAGAGACTCTGTACCCAAGGAATGGTTAAAAACAGCCTATGTAGCATTTTTTCAGAGTGTACTTCTGTATGGTTTGCGTCTGTGGGGCTCCGCATCTGGGGTCGAGAGGGTCTTGCTTCTGCAAAAGAAAGCAATAAGGATTGTGAATGGTGCAGATTATCTGGACCATTGTAAACCAATCTTTGTTGCCGAGTCCTTGATGACAGTTTACAATCTCTTCATTTTGCAGTGTCTCATGTCATGTAAGAGGAAGCTTGGCACTTTCGAGCTCAGAGGAGGGGTCCACCACTACAACACTAGGAATAAGCAGGATCTAAACATACCTTATGTTAGACTAAAGAAAACCCAGGCTAGTAAGGAAATCTTAAGCTTGAAATTAATGAACAAATTGCCTTGTACAGTTCGGAACCTGCCAATCACTAAATTCCAAAAGAGGGTGAGGGAGTTCCTATTGGCTAACCCACTTTACTCAATCCATGAGTTTTTTGAACTTCCTGACAACTTGTAAGTATGTTTTTTATGAGTTTTGCAAGTGTGGTTTTATTTTATTTTCTATGCATGGAGTGTTGCAGGAACAAACAAATCATGTAATTTTTGAAATTTTTTAGTACTCTAACCTAGTATTAGTTTATTTGACTTTTTCCATACATGTATCATGTTCACGGAAATAAAGCATTTCATTTCATTTCATTTCACACCTTTACTAAAACACTGAGAGGCATAATGCCCTATTTTGTGACATTTTGTACACTTTTTTCCGTAGGCTGAACACTGACCAAGTTTGTGGAAGTAGCCACATTTTGAACAGGGTGAATTAAATCTTTTACCTTGGGATGTCTTCTTAAATCGATTCCAGCCGCTCGCAGCGTTGTTAGGCCTACCTCGGTTGCCGTCACTATTAGGAGTCGAGTTGGATGTAAATGCAGGAGCATTTTTAGAGTGTTGTTGATTGTGACTAGATGTCTTATTTTTAACTTTAATCTTGTTAACTTCTGGGTTTAGGCCTATATTTTCAGCGTTGTTACAAATACCAGCAAGTTGAACTTTACTTTGCTCATAGGCCCTACAAACTTCAAGCGCTTTAACTAAATCAAGATCCTTGATTCTTAGGAGTCGATCCTTTAAGACAGTGTCTTTTATACCTATGATTATTTGATCTTTGATAAGGCTATCATTGAGTGAACTAAACTCACAACTTGAACTAAGGTCTCTTAATTCTGTGACATAATTGTCAATAGTCTCTCCGTCCCGTTGGTGTCTAAGAAAGAATTTATGCCTTTCATATGTTACATTTTTCTCAGGCATAAAATAGTCATCAAATTGTTTTAAGACTTTTTCAAAACTATTCCTGTCAGTTTCTGGTGAAAAAACGAAATTGTTAAAAACCTTAAGAGCCCTATCACCTATGACACTGAGCAAAAGTGATACTTAATTCTGAATCCTCTAGATTGTTCTTAGAAGCTTTAAGATAGATACCAAACTTTCGTTTAAAAAATTTCCAATCATCCGACATGTTACCTGTCCACTGCAGGTCGGAGGGCATACGTACAAAAGCATTTTGTAGCAGTTTTACCTTTTCTTCACTAGGTTTTTCTTCAAGATCTTTCCCCATTGCAATTAATCATTTCTTCAATAATTTAGTAGGTTAATTTAGAGACTGCGCCATGTAAAGGCGTTAGTACTAGCATTAATAATAATTAATTAGTCTTCATGGATTTTAAATAACCACAACTAGTTTGGAGTAAGCCATCTTTAATAATGAGACCGATTGGGGTCACCGACTTGGTGACATCATCATGAGCATAGAGGATTTACATAAGTGGTATGACAATATTATATAACTATATGACAATATTCTTTGTACAAATAAAAAATCTGTAATTAGAATTTTTTTTATACAATAACTTATTTTTAACGATGTTTGTAAAACTTACTAAGCATACAAAATAAATTACTTATTTGAACAAAGCTTAGCTAGTAAGTAAGACCTATTCCATGAACATACTTAATCCTTTTTTTATTTTCATTACTCTAGTTGACAATCTACTAACGATTTCATTGTATTGAGTACGTAGGGAGCATAATAAAAATATTTTAATTTGTAACAAGTCGTTAAAATGATATTTTCAAATGACACAATAATACCATGTAAAGTTTTGTAAAATAGATGTTATCAAAATCTTACCGAACGATTCTTAAATATCACATTGAAAAAGTTATGTGTCATAGAGTTTGCAGACTTGGCAACTTTAGGATTTCAGATGTTGGATGAGATTTGATCAAAAGGTTTTCTGTCAATCTGTCATTTATCTTCAAATGTGTTATTCACTGAAAACAACACTAATGAAAGAAATAAATTACCTTTGCGTGCTAAAGGATTCTATTTTAGTATTAATAATAACATAATTTTACTTTTACATAGTGAAATTAATTTACTTTATACGTTACGAGAATATAGTTTATACTTAAAATTGACTTATCATCAATGTATGAAATCCTAAATGTAAATTATTGTAAATCCGAAAGAATTGAATGAACACTGAAGCCAAACAAACTAATAAAAAACAATAATTAATATTAAAATTAATGGAATAACGTAATACAATTATTTTATATAACACAAATTTGTATACATATTAGGTATGTCAACGTTTCAAACCTAAAAGCTTGAACTGCAATTGGATAAGCATAATTATTTTTGTTTTATAATTTTATTCAATATGTGAATATAAAATAAAAATGTTCTTGCTTCGCTCCAAAGAATATTTTATGAAAAAACATAGTGTAACTTAAAATGGATGTAAGATAAGGACGTCTGAGGTTAAATTATACTGGTCAAAGAAGCTGTCATGTATTTGAAGGTGAATTTGTGGCACAAAAGGTTTTTACATAAATAATTCAAGTTTTAACAATTAGTTTTAGCCTACACCTTAGCCCCTTTTTCCATTTATTTTCGTTTTGAACAGTGAAAAAGATAATTTTTTTACAGCACTAGAAGTCTACTTTTCGAATTGGTAAATTTAATTTTATTTTGTTATTAATATCTTAGTTACGATATGATATAATATATAGACTATTTGATTATCTAAGGGGCTTGCAGGATGAATCTTAAAACTGTTGACTGAAATCTTCAGATATTTATGTTTCAAAAACTTTATATTCCTCACAGTTGAATTCCATAGCTACGAATTGGCTTAATTTAGTGTAAAACACCTAAAAAAGCTAGAAAACCATCCTAATCACCTGGATCTAAACCTCTTGGCCAATAGTACATGCAGACTACAAACAACCTCATGTTATAGAACTCAGTCCACGTCTCGTTTAACTAATTCCATTCTGTATTGTTTTGAATATTTTTCCATTGGACTATTTTTATGTTAGATCTGCCGTTAAATAGTGGCTAACAAATGTTTTATTGGTTGTTATAGTATTTACTGTACGTTTAAAAATCTGAACTGATTGGAAATAAAAATGTGAAAAAATCAAATAAACTGAAATATGCAACATATTACCGCACCCACTCAGTTAGCTCAGCAACGCTTTTAAGTGAGTATTGTATTTAAAATAATATTTTAAGTAGACGTAGATTAACAGCTCATTGTAACGACACACTAATATCTCCACAAAACAATCGCTACAATAATGACAATAATCTTGTTATATCAAGGATATAATCCAGGCTTAACATCGTCAATAGTTATTGCGAATGTTTGGTTCATGTCGTATTAATAGTGGTGTATTATTTTACTTTTCTGTTACCAAGGCATTAAAATATTTATGTTTCAGCATTAAATAATAGCTATAGAATGTTCAAAAGAAAGATTTGAGAAGATTATCTCCAACATTGAATCTATAAATTATATAGCCTAAATCGCACGTTTGAAAATGATTAAAGTATAAAGACGATGGAAGAAAAACAATTAAATACTGGGTGGCGCATAAAGAACGCATGGATTTGAGTTGAGTGGTGAGAGCGATAGGAGCGTAGTGGAGGGACTGGGCCTGGTTGTTTTGTAGGTTAGGGTGTCCAGTTTTAGTAGCAATGGTGCAGTGGTCCGTGGTACATCACATTTTTGCGGTAGAACATTTATTCAAAAGTAATTAAATCTGTTAAAACTGTTCAACGGCTTTTCTGCACAAAGTTCAATGTTCCGCGAGTCCTGAAAAAAGTACGGTAAGGCCCAAAAATAACAAAAGTTACACCAAAAGTTAAGTTTCAAATCGTGCAGTGGTTTTTGATGCAATTCTTTTGGGTCTTCTGCTGCCAAATAGTGCCAGTTTTGCTTATTGACATAACAATCCAAATGAAACTGCGCTTTTCGTAATCACGTTCATAAATCTTCTGTACGATCATAATTTTGTAAGGATGAAATTTTAACTCATCTTTCAGGTTGCCCTGCAACGAGCGTCAAGACAAGCACACAATTGGAGCGCATCGCCTAGTGTAACAGACGCCCTTACTCTGTCGACATTTTGTGGAGTTCGCGCCGTGCAAGGACAACCAAACCACTCCTGCTTCATAACTGATTCAGTTGTGCGAAAAGAAGCTACCCAACAAAGTATTCTGTTGCGATCGGGTTTTGTTTTGAACCATTGAACTGTACACGGAGAAGCCATTGAACAGTTATATCAAATTCATTATTTTTTAATAAATGTTCTACAGCTAAAACGCGATGCGCCAGGTCGATTGCTACTAAAACTGGACGCCCTAACCTACAAAACAACCCGGCCCTGTCCCTCCACGGACGCTTTTATTGCTCTCACCACTCCACTCAAATCCATGCGTTCTTTATGCGCCACCCAGTATTATTAAATTTAACACTTCTTTACAACAATTTTTTTTCCTACATAAGGTGTACATAAATCCATAGTAAATGTATATGTAGTACGTTGGTGCACAGTGGTGCCTGCATTATCAACTCAACGTCATAATATTACCTCATCAGCTATGACGTCACATAATGGTGGATTTCACATGATTACACTGTCACTGTTGATGATTTAAAGGTGGAAACCAAATTACCTACAATCGTGTTCGTGTATACCGTCCAACATTCGAACCCCAATATAATTCCTTTTGTATGAATAACAATAGATATAGCTTATACCATGGACTGTAGGTTATCCTATTGACCATGTTATTGGGGTTGAGGGAGGGATTATGGGGATCAATGCATGATACAAGGTGTTTAATAATCTTGTCCCCGGACATCTGCCACCTTGCTGGACCGACTAAAGTTGTTATTACTGGTACCAAGCAATACTAATGTACAAACAAACTGAATGCAAATGGCCAATAAAGTCCTTAAATATGTTCTGGAATCACATATTACGTAATCTGGAATCGTATACATAATTTAAAATGTATTTACGTATTTCATTAATGCAAATATTTATCAAAACCGTAAACTGCGGTGATTTTTAAATTTCGTCAGACTAAAACGAATTTTTCTCTGAAAAATAATTCAACGTCGGTACCTAAGCGAATTATTTTTTTAACGTGTT